CGGAGTGCCACTTAAAGTAGATCTGAAGGGGTTAAGCTGGCTCAACATGTAATGCTTCTTGAATGCTTTTTCAGCTTGGTTCTCGAGGAGGAGAATCCCTCCATGAGCTGAATGCTGACACTTGGTTGCTGACGTTTTCACGATGTGATGGATATCCACTCATCACTTTCTCCTTCAGGTCTTCTATCTGGGCTCGAGAAAGGAAGTCTGGCAGACGTGGAACTATGGACTTCCTCCACCTCTCTCGAAGTGATTGCCACGTTCGATTGGGACAGATGCCCTTGTTCGCCGTGATCTTCCAGAAGTAATGCCCTTGTTCGCCGTGATCTTCCAGAAGATGTATGGCGTGTGGTGACGCGTTCACGGAGTGGTGCACGTGTTGGACGATGGCTTTGTCCTCTTCCTGAGAGTACCGTCGGATCGAGTTTCCACCATGTCTCTCTGGTCGTCTTCGTTGTGCCCGATTTGACCTGGTCTGGTTCTATGTACTGATGGTCTGCTGAAGCCGTGCCGTTTAGAGTCGTATGTCCTTCGAGCTGGTCTTGGATAGGCTTCTGCTTCTTCCGGATCTGATGTTTCCAGCTCCTCTATTTGAAAGCCTTGTCCCTCGCGATGCTCTGATTCTGCTCCTCCGTATCTTTCGGCTTCCTCTCTCGATTGCTGAAGATCTGGGAGAAGGGGTTCACCTCCTGCATCTTCCATGTCTTGCGCTCTGAGGCTTCCATGTTGGCTGTCTCTTCTTCACGGCGTTCTGTTTCGAATGAAAACGAAATGCTCTCGATTCGATTGGGAAGGTTTGCACCGGGAATGATGTGACAAAATGAGTTTGGATGTTGTGGGCTGCATTCCAGTATATTCAGGCCTACTAAGTGTGAAATATCGAGACCAACTTCTGAAATTAACTGGTGGAAGTGATAGAATGGAACGTAAAACTTTCGAGCTGGATGATCCTGTTGGATTATCCCTATTGCGTGATAGAGGAGAGTTATGACTAGTGCTAAAGGACGCTGGTGCTTGTCGATGTCGCTGAGAATCTCGAGGAGCTTCATTTCCCAATTTGCAGCAGTCTAGTAGGGAATAACAGTCAGCTCCAAGGGGATGTATTCACCAGAGAGTGATGTGATGCACCCAACGATGTTCAGTGCCTCCCACCAGAGTTTCCCTCTGGGGACTTTGTCTTCCACGACGAACGACCAATATCTGTGTCGCTTGCCCTTTTGTCCGACTGATGATATCCGCTGGAGTTGGGACAACTTTCCATTCCTTCCCGATGGTACACAGTTTCTCGAGGAATGCTTCGCGAGGAACTCTCGGAGACTACACATGGAAAACCAGGTGAGCCAATGTGCCATGAGTGCCTCTGCCATCTAGGAGACAGTTCCAGAAACGATGTAATGTCGTGGGCTCGTGCACGATGGCTTGACGATCCGGTGACCTTCAGAAGTGACGATCCGGTGACCTTCAGAAGTGACGATCCGGTGACCTTCAGAAGTGACGATCCGGGACCTTCGGAAGTGGTGGTCCCAGCGCTGCTCTTGAGCAAATGGAGGTCCGTATTGACGTATGATGGCTTCTGCATAGCGAGCAACGAAGTGTCGGGCGATGATCTTCTCTGAGAGAAGAACTTGTGGGATGCCGCCTGGATGTATCTAGCAGACAAGCCTCAGCAATGGGGGTAGGTGTCGTGGTACGCCCTGGTGGTAGAATATTGATTTGCTGGCTTCTGAAACAAAATCCAAGATGTCATTCTCGACTGCTGGCTCAGGCAGTAGTTAGGTTAATCTTGAATTTGCCTTAGATGGTATATGAATGTTGGAAATTGTGGATGTTTTGCAGGTATCCAGTAGAAGGCATTATACGAGATGCTTTTTGTGGATCCTGAAAGGAAATGACAAATGGCAGTCTCAGTGGCAAATGCCAAGCTCAAGATTCCATGAATGATCTCATGATGACAATCCTGGAGGATGTTTTCCAGGATGCTCATCATTCGGCCGAGGGTATCTCCGGTCCACTCCACGAACACCGTTATTGAGAGCGTCTTGATGCAGCCATCTTTGACCATCTGCTGGAAAAACTCTTCAGAAAATTGAAATCGTGTCATCATCTCATGGAGAAGGTGTTGATTTTGGCATTTAGCCTGCTCCTGTGGGCAGGAGTGGCCCTCGTGTGCATGACTTGTGACGTGTTCAATGATACCCTCAAACGTCAGGGAAAATCCTCTAGTTTTGGTGTATGTCAGGACCTCCTTCAATATCCTTAAATACCTAGCAGCACGATCCTGCATTCTCTGGGACTCGATAGGGGTTCTCCTTCCGGCACCCTTCAGGACGATTGCTGGAATTCTCAGTCGGTCGAACGGCTTTGTGTCGCTGCCGATTTTATCGATTGTGGTGTAGTATGCCATGAAATGGGACATGGTGGTTTTATGAGTGAGGTGCCTTCGCTGGCTGCGGGCATTTCGAGGCATCATCGACTTGAGGATTTTGACAGAAGTGCTGGGTTCCTGGTGCCGATGGTGCAACATTGTCACAACTCACGGCACATGCCAAGAGGTTCGTAGCGTACTGATGCGTGTGGGATGATGTGGGACTCGATCGATACAAGAGAACTCTGAACCTATACGAAGGTGCATCGTCCTCAGATGATGCCAATTTTTTATGTGGCCGCATAAATGGTTAAAAAGGCCTCCTTACTCTTCCTGTTTCATGCCGACAGCATTCATTGTGATGGCATACGAGAAACACATGCTGTCATTATTAGTAAAGAGCTCTTCCATGATGTATATGTTGATGGACGACAGGTCTTCACAGTAAATGACAATTCCATCCCACTTTTTTGGGCCGCCTTCAAGGCGAGACCGAAGGGAATTAAATCGGAATGTGCTAGTGCTTTCTTTCAAAGAAATTAGAGCCTTCCGGCGTCGCTGTGGAGGGCCATGCAGTGACGGGAGACGATCGGATCTCGCCCGAACGCAGATTCACGCACCGTGGAAGGGCCGAAACGTCGGCGGTCGACCGTCGGCGGTGGACCGCGGAAAAGGCGCTGCATCATCCAACCAAACGTAACCCTATGAATGGAGCTTCACCACGGAGGGACTCGGACGATCGCGACCGCGGGAAAACCCGCGGACGGACGGACCCCATACCGAGTGCACGCGCTCTCGGGGACCCAACCTGCGGATTGCCGCGGTGGAATTCGGAGTCCCGCCGCGATCATCCAGAGGCATCTCCGTTGACTCGACCCGACCTGACCTGTCCTGTAGCCGATCGCCTTGGCGCGTATGACTAACGCGCGTGGCTTACAAGGCAATGCCTTCTTGGGCATAGGCTAGACCACAAAACCCTATGATTGACAAATCGGACTCCCTGTATGTGATGTGATGCGCCCGCGTGAGAGAAGCGACAAGGCAGTATAGGTCTGGACTGACCAATGAGCAATATGAAGATGTCGAAGCTGAGAGAAGAGCTGCATTAATTGTATGGCAACACGAGGCTGTTAATGCTGTGTAGAAAGCAACGCGCGTATAAGCATCGAAACTTTTAACAATAATAGATTTGCGTTGGCCAGTATGTCCAACGTCATTCCAGCCGTTTCGCATGATCGCAATTCTTATCTATTACTTTAATGAATCCTATACTCTAATTCGAAGAGGTCAAAAGCTGCGGTGGTGGTAGTCGTGGCTGTCACCCCCACCGCGCGGGCCTACGATGCCAAGCCATTCTGGGTCATAGGCCAGGCCTACAAGGCTGCTCCTTTCCAAGCCACCATCATATACTTTAATTCGAAGAGCCTGAGAGTTGTCGTGGTTAGCCACCCCAGCGCGCGAGGCCTACGTGACTGTCACTTCATGCCATAGGCCAGGCCATCCACCCCTCAATGCGCCAGGTCCTTGAGGCTATGCTATTCTAGGCCATCCAACGCTTTTAGCGCCAGGTCCATTGAGCTATATCAATCTAAGCCGTAGGCTTCGTACTTAGCTGTGTCAAAGTCTTTTTCTTTATTTTTTTCCGTTAGGTCAGGCGTGCCAGTTCAGGACATCGCTTCCATGCAATAGGTTTCTGTTTGCGTTTTATGTCATGGTCGATTTATTTGAGTTCCCATGATTGATGAAATCAAAATAATTACGTAAGTTCTTTGTTTCATACGTCGCGCAAACGGGCCGCTCCTCCAACAAATATTGTAGTAATTTTTGCGAGATGAGGTTGAACGTGTAAAAAAATGTTGAAAGAAGTCCCACAGGACGGCGATGAGGCAGTGGCTGTAGATAATAAACGATTGGTGCTGGCGCGGAAACAACGTTTGCCACTGCAGTTGCAGTGAGAAGTACCTAAATCGTTGCTAGCCGTAATGGCTAGAATCAATTATGAACACCAAGCAGATACACGTTGGGAGTGAATGGCAGCCCAGACCGGTGAACAGCAAGAGCCCGCAAATGCTTAGCTCCGGAATAGGAGAGCCGTGCAGTCTGCTGGGCAACTTGATACAAGGAACGCAGCACTCAGGTCGAAAGCCGGGGGGGCGGCCGGGAATTGAACCTGGACCTCCTGCTTGCCAGTCAGGCAAGCATTGCTACATTGCATGCGCTACCATTACACCACGGAACTCGGGACATTTTCGAATTCGGATTGCAAAGGTGCTCTATTTTGGAGCGCATTCGCTCCTATGTCTTCGTGTTACAGCTCATCTTTATCCTAGCACATCACGGCAAGAATCACGCTACAAAAATTGATTTAGATTTTCGTTTATTTCATTTCGCAGAAACTGAACAGCGGTGCTAATCCCTACTCCTCTTCGCTCGCTCATTCACTATGACTGTCATGGTGAAAACATCTTAACTTTTCCGTGAAGCCTATCCCGATTTCTTGTTCTTGTTTATTGCAGGATCGTATTCGTTTATGTAATGAGTCTCCAACGAATTCAGGTTGCCTAGAGAATCGATCAATGAAATATGCAAGATCGTGACTGTGAGATTCTCCCACCGCCTCGAAGCTTCAGGCACGCAATGCCTCATGTGGTCTACCATCCCCTTAACAACCTCTTTTTTTTCCACGTTCTCCTCTCGTCCTTTCGAAGTCGATGCATCCACATTCTCCTCTTGCCCTTTCGAAGTCGATGCCTCCACATTCTCCACTCGTCCCATCGGAGTCGATGTCTCCACATTCTCCTCTCGTCCCATCGGAGTCGATGCACCTATGGTCTCCTTTCCCTTCTTGGCAGCTGTCTTCTTTTTCTTTTGCTTCTTTGAAGGCGATTCTCTCGCCAGCTTCCTCTTCCTCCCGCTATTAGATGCTCCTCCCTCAATTGCAAATCTATGTTGTGACATCCTAACGCTGAGGGTATCTATCGTCATGCCAATATATTGATGGCCGCAAATATTACACGTTATACAGTAAATAACGTTTGAAGACTTGCAGTTCCCGTCTTCCACGGCCACGACCTTGTGCTCTACGAATTCTGGTTCTTTGTTCTCTCTCTTCATCTGTAAGGAAACACGCGGAGACTCGTCCATTCTGGGACATAATTTGCAATTACCGCTTTTACAGGGCCCTGACGACCATCCCTATTGAGAAAAAGACAAAATAAAGCAAAAGCCAGTGCAAAATGCATATATACTGACAATTTGAAACGAGGGAATCAGGCAGAATTAAGAAATTCAGTAAGCAATACCTCTGGCTGGCACAGCCTGGTGAAAGGTTCTTCGTATTCTCCACCACTCTCAAGACATTTATCCCACCTGTCCACAGCTTGGGATGATGCTCTGGCCATGATTTGTGGGGTAACTTCGTCAAATGCCGCTGTCAGCCGTTCTTCCAACTCTTCTACCGATTTTGGTTTCTAATCATCGACTGGATAGACTTTTCCCTTTAGAAACCCCCAGAGAAAAAAGTCGACGGGAGACAAGGTAGGAGATGCAAATGGCCATGGAATTCCAGCATGTCTAGCTATTATGCGTTCAAAAAAGTAACTTTCGAGCCATTGCATCAAATATTGATCGGATTGTGTTTCTGAGACGCTGTCCTGCTGGAACCACACCCTGCATTTCCTCACTTTGTCTTTACTTAGCTTTTCTTCTAAAACCTTCATGAACCTTTTCTCAATTGTGTCTTGATATAGCAAACTTATTAATTCGATTTCGTTTGGAACAGGCTCGGATTCATTCCCGCTTGATTCATATACGCCAGATTCTGTTTTCCCAACTAGGAAACTAATGAAATACTTCCTTGACATGTCACACCATACGGTCACCTTTTCTAAGGAAACATCCTTCTTGGTTTGAATATCTTCGGTTGGTACATTTTTACCACAAAACCAGACGTTCATTCTCTTCACGGTTCCGTCAAGATAGAAATCAGCGGTATTTGTGAATAATAATCTGTCAATAATTTTTAAAATCATCTTTCATCTTTCTAGTTATCCACTGACAGAAAGATTTCCTCCTTTTCTGCAGATAACATAGGTGCTCTGTCGCGGCAATATGCAAGAAATATGAAAAGTTTCCTAGATCGGAGGCCTCGGGGTCCTGTCCCCCTGCCGCTGATTCTTCGTCTTCATCGGATGATGAACACTGAACTGTCTCATCACAACTTCTCTGGAATGCCCCGATAACACATTCAATGATTTCATGTGATATGCTTTCGCCAGGGTGCATGTTCTCGAATTCATCACGTATATCTTTAACAGATGCTCCAATTTTAACATTCAGGTGGATTTTTCTTCCCTCTGAGCCTAGCTCAGTCCCACTCTGATCCATCTCCTTTGATACCTGTAAAGACAAAAGAAAACACAATTTGACAAGTCTAGGAACAAGAGGAGAATAAAAAACCTTACAAAAATGCAATAAATCTGACCATTGATATATAACTTCCTTAATCAGAATATTGGGAGCAGGGGAACTCTAGGGATTCCCAAAGTACACATCTCTGAACATGTTCCTGTCTGCAGGTCAACATAGAGGAAACCTTCGCAGGTACCTTGGACGATGAAATGGGTTTCCTTTAGAGCACTGAACCGAAAATAGGGATTCTTTGGGAGGGATAGGGTTACCGGATTTTCATGATAGTGAAGGATAGAACCCTAGCATACCTTAACATTCGATGCAAGATTTGGCTGTTCACGTGCTGCTGCGAGATGAAGATCTTGAGAAAAGGTGAAGTTTGAATCGAAGAGCTTCGAAAGGAATTAAGTGAGTAAATAACTACTCTCAATCGCAGCATGAATAGTTATATGCTGCCTATTTTTGACGACGGTGAAAAAGTAATACTCAAACTCTTGTTGAAAGCAGAAGCGTTTTTTTAAGTCTGGACATTTGAAGTCTGTGGTTTCCACTACTCTCATGGCAAGTAAACCTGCAAACCAGAGGAAACGAAATACTCCTTTGCGGAAGGAGTCACCATGATCTTCAGGGACTACCACCCAAGTAGCAGCCGAACGTTTTCAAAGAGCGGACCGAAAAGTAGGTCATATTGAAATGCATATATCTCGAGATCTGTGAGGAAGAAAACAATTGGTTGAAATTATATTTTTTAAATAGATTCCTCTACGTGTATAGCGATTTTCGTCAAAACCAGAGATGGTCGAGCTTTCTCGCTGGTCGATTTGGCGTGGAATGACCCGAATGTCAGTAGTGTCCTTTCTCTTCCTAGGCATTCACGAGCACGAAACAAATGATAGTCCTCACAGGCAATAGACAGAAAGAGCTGACAGACACAGCAAAGCCCCGAAAAAGGGCCACTATGCGGAGCGCATTAGAAGGCCTCCGCACTCCAGACACTCCAGCGATCCATTGTACACTTTTCTCTACACATGTTCAAACTGTTGCCCTCCAAATTGGAAACACATGTCTCATCTTGCTTGTATGCCGACTGAGACTCTTCTGAGAAGGTCCGGAGATATTTTGTGACAAACCTCAGAGATGGATCGTTTCAATTCTTCAACTGTTCGTGGTCTTGTTTCGTAAATCACAGACTCCAAATGTCCCTAAAGGAAGAAATCCAAAGGGATGACGTCGGTGGATCTTGGCAGGCCATTCGACCGGACCCCTCCGTCCGATCCATCTCTCAGGAAGTGCATCATTTAACCAGTTGCGAGCAACTAATCAATAGCGAGCCGGTGCTACATCCTGTTGAAAGCAGGAACTTTTTTTTTTTTAATCTGGACATTTGAAGTCTGTGGTTTCCACTATTCTCATGGCAAGTAAACCTTCCGCAAACCAGAGGAAACGAAATACTTCTTTTGCGGAAGGAGTCACCTTGATCTTCAAGGACTACCACCCAAGGAACAGCCAAACGTGTTTAAAGAGCGTTTCTTTTAAGGTACTGCCAGCGTTCCATGAAAATCCATGGAAACGTTCTTTTGACTGCTTAAATATCTGAAGAGCGATCAAAAACATTTCAATTTAGGAGTTCCTTGAACGACGTGAATTGTATATTTCAAGAAAAGAGTTCTATGAACTTTCTTTTTCCGGATTCATCCAGTATGGAATTAACGCATTGGATACGTTCTTTTAATCCCTTATATCGCATCCAGTCTACGCAAAACCCAGCTACCGTGACAGGGGGTCAGAGAATATTTTGGAGCCAAATAGTCTAGTTTGAATTACCCTCATAAGGAATAGTCTGGTGGACAAGCATGTGATAATAGTCATTCTACGTAAACCCTCGTCATATCCGCAGTTACCTCATGCTCAGCAGTCAGACACGCCCAGAACTAAATTCCCTTCTCGCAAAAGCGATAATAGAGATATTTTGTATCTATACTAGCGAGTTTGTCGCTACAAAGCTCGCGTTTTGTTTGTGTGCGTTGTTTGTGCGCGTACAAAGCAGGTTGTTATAGAATTACTGACTGCAGAGGGAAAACATTAATAGGCGACTGGAAGACGTAAATGGGACCTCTAATGTTGATGTGAGCTCAGTGAGAGGGTGAGCGGAGAAACCGACTTGAAAAACAAGCCACGCAGCGGTCGTCATTTTTACAGAGTTTTACACCGTTTCACCGAGACGACATACTTGCCTTTCTTGAGCGCTAGGAAGACACTGTTGAACGCGATGGGAACTACATAGAAAAATTACCATATGTTCTATATAAAAGGGCTTGGTCTACTTTCCAGCCGAATTTCATCATTTTTGCTTGAAAGGTTATCGAGAAAAAAATGCGCAGGCATTACTTTCGTACTGAGCCTCGTAAGAGGGTCGGTTGAACCTGATGAGAAAAAATATTGGCAATAAAAATCAAGATCTTCTCCAGATAGCACTATGTCACAGCCAGGCAAAATGAGGGGAGACAGGACCGTTTCCAGGCATGTTTTAATCGATGCATCCATGAATCTTTTTTTTCGGGACTACTCATCTTAGAAAGTTTTTGTTCAATATAGGGCTGAAGTGAATTGATAGTGTTTCATTTCTCATTTTTTTTTTAACAATGTATTCGATATAAGCATATCTCCGTATAAGGGTAAAGTGGAAATTACTTCTTCCTCATTTCTGCGTATAGGGCATATTACGGGAGTCTTTATATATAGTACAGTATGTACGTGGACATATCAAAAAGGTCCAGAACCGGTTTTCATAGCAAACTATGTGCAGACGCTCTGTTTCCGAATGATCCCTTTTGGAATGCATGGATGACAAGAAAATAATGCAACTTGAAAGTTTTCTATAGAATACATACCTTGTAATTGATTAGTCTGAACATTTAATGGAACGTTGGCTACAATGTTTTCCTAGAGCTCTTGAAATTATATGAATTTATGGATAACCATTCATGAGTTATGACATTTTCTGTTGAAATGGCAAAGAAAGGGTATGCGACTGCCATTGCGAGGCACGAATCCAAATTGCATGAGGATCCCGGAAAATGCATGCAGATGCATGAACTTTTTATGGATGACTACACATTTTTGACAAAGTTCTATTAATTTTTTCGCGAGGATTATCCCAGAGGAACTGATCCATTAGGCAAAAATCAAATGCAGATTCGTACCTCCCCATTGGCAGTCACATGCCTGTTCACTCAGAAAATTTGACCAATTCGATTAAATCTCTCATGACTCAAAGGTGCATATACTGTACTTCAACAGCTCTTGAAGAACCTCGTCAACAAGGTATATGTACATTTTCGCTGAAGAATTTATCTGTTTAAAGAAATGTTGAAGTTGCTTAATTTTTTCCAGTCAACCCTCTAGTTCAACCTGACTTGCAACACACATTTCCGGGAAATTTGGTTCCTTCCACAAGACCGAATACACGTGACATAATAGTTAAGGTATGTTCGGGATGCGACTAGGACGTACGTGGAAATTTGAGAAGAGGGACAAACTGAAGAGATTTCACCATGGAAACGAAGAATAATATTTTTAAAGCCTCGATCTCCAGAATCACCGCAACAAAAGAGTGGCTAGATAATCATTGTTGTTCACTCGAGCGCGATAACTTTCCTTTCTCCTGCATGTAGATCCATCTCGTGGTTGAGATTCTTCTTGGATGGCAGCAAGATGCCATTTCAAGAATTTTCATTCAATAAAAGCCTTAAAAAGCATGTAAAATGTCTCTTTCGTCACCGATGGCGGCGGCAGTGGAGGCCATTTTTCTTTACTAAACGGAAAATCTTACAATTTATTACCATATTCCTGCTTCTTAGAATTTAATTTACTGCAAAAGATATTACAATACTTATACAACAGCGCTAGAAGTGACGAAAGACCACGGCATTCTACAATTCTGAAATTCTAACTTTTGAGAGATGGAGCCCCACAAGAAAGCCGCAGAGATGACTTTCTTCGCAGGAAGCGCGTGAACGCAATCGGCAGCGAACTGACGAATCGCCCGCCTTTAATGATGGACGCTTGAAAACCCTCAATTCCCGGCACCAGGCTGCAGGCACTGTGATGAGCGATGCCACTGTCCCCTGACGAGTGCCACAGCAAATTTCATCTCCTCGTCCATCCTGAAGAAGGTAAGAGGAGAGCGAATCTCCAATTTTTGATGATACGGGAGATCTGTGTCGTAACCCGCACCTCAAACCTCGAAACCTTTCGTCTGTAGATCTGTCACACACACACGCACAAACACGTATTAGTTGCTCGGCGTAGCCAGCTGTCAGGATCGTGCTCGCTACATATTTCACCTCCGACCTATATTGGCCCTCCGGTAAACTTGGAAACCGGAGGAAACCCTGTCCCAGTCTCAGAAACACGAACGGTTAGCATCGTACATCAGCTCATACGAATGGAAGAAGACAGGGAACATGCAGCACACAGCTCAGTCACGATACGCAAATCACTCTTTTTCTCTACTAGCTCCTGCCTCCCAGAGATGCTTCATCGTTTTGCCTCTACCAATACGACTGCGATCCAGGGAAACAATAGAACGTTTGAAAACTCTGGCGCTCATCGGCTTCCTTGCCTCGTTCATGGGCGCTTTCAGAGGATTCAATGTGATCGGACTCGGAAGCAGTGACGAAAGAGCACATCATTTTATAATTCTGAAATTCTGCACTTTGAGAGATGGACCCCCACGAGGAAATTGCGATCATGCCCTTATCTAACCCTTGGACGGACGCTCAGGCCTACATCGATCTCGACCCATTGGCATCGATAAACTTTTGGCCTATCTAAACGGAACATTTCCGGTTTAACATGTGGCACGAGATCTTTGCCCTATGTCTTTCTTTGTCATAGGCTTGGTAGAAGAACTTTGTTCTATAAAGAGTTGTTGCAATTAAACTCTGAAGTGGTTTATTTGGTTCATGTGGCTGCTATTACCTCTACTTTTTCGGAGATTGATATGCAATCAAGAGTGTATCGACTATAAGCAGGAATTGAATACACTAATGGAGTGCTAGACGACGGCACTGAAATTTGTTACTTGGTGATCCTCATGCTACAAATCAAATAGCGTTACTGTGACGGATGAGGATGGCATCGAGAGGCTCGACTGAATGTCCTGGGTTCGGTGGTGTAGTGGTAGCACACCTGACGGGCAATCAGGAGGCCCGGGTTCAATTTCCGGTCGTTCCTTGACTTCTTCCGACCTCTCATGCCGTCCGTCACCACTTTCCCTCCGTAACATGACTAAGAAAATGTGGGAATTGAACCCATGAGCAAAGGAGTTTGACCAAACTCCTGGGGGAGAGCAATGAAAATGGATCCCTTTAACTAAAATGCATTAGTAATTTCCTGATATCGCAGAGGTCTGTAAGTTTGCTTGCCCTTCGGGCAAACAAACAATGAATTTCCAGTCACTGACCGGTAAGCTAAGCTTCGAGAGAGGCTTTTCACCTGCTTGAAATACGAGTCTCCTATATTCACGGAAAAACGGCAAGAAAATTAATTTTTCATTAAATTCAGTATGCATTAATAACTGGTAAACAAAAAAATAAAGAGAAGGAATCCTTGAGAAGCATCAGGGGCATTCTTTAGTGGGAAAGCACCAAAGGGGCTTGTTTAAAATCTTCAACATGATAGTGGAAACAGCAATATCATCATCGTCGAGGTGCTAGGTGCTTCAATCTGGGTGCTTCAAAAGAAATTTCCTCAGTTTTCACGAGTTGGTTGACCTGCGCAATGGGGGGGGGGGATGACATAATAATTAAATGCCCATCTGCAAGGCTTGCCCGAACCTGCTTTGAGGCCTAAGAGGATTGCGGGTCGGGCAGGTTCTGGCCGAGAATTCATTCGGGCCGATCGGGTCGAGTGGGGAAAAGTCCACCGTGCATTACTCCGCCGGCCAGAAAGACGGAAAGACTGACAAACCTCGGTTTTTATTATATTGATGCCACCTCAAATGCCCATTGCATAGTTCCCGAAGAGAATGTCACAAAAATAGTAATCCTGCCTCTTTTCGTCTTCGACGCATTCCTCTGGCATCGTGGAGAGAAGAATGTCACATCAAGGAAAACGTGAAATTGGCGACCTTCCAGATCTCGCTTGCTCGTAATTGGAACCGAAAAATGTTCTCTCTGTCCCCAGAGAAAATTTAAGACTGGAACTCTGCTTTCCTCTCGGTGAAAATGGATTATTAATTCTCAACCGGAATGAATAATATTATAAGGATGCCTTATACTTACAATCAAACATGTTGAGGAAAGTCTCTTATCTAATATACGACATTCGTGGAAGTAGAAAATTAATAATGAGGCCCTTTTTCCATTCCTCATTACAAGACTAATGAGGCCCTTTTTCCATTCGCTGGTCATCGTTAATCCCAAGAAATACAACTGTCATCATGAACATAATTATTGAATACCACAGGAAATGAATTTTGGAAGCTTCCCATCCCGTTTAACGGGCAGGAGTAGCATGCTCCACTATTATCCGGAAAGTGACAAAAAAGACGGAAGTATATATCGAACAATGGAAGAAGATCTAAGACCTCTGCTCATCAATAAGGGACTCATCCACTGCAGCGAAGAGCTAAAGGAAATTTGGGTTTGCTAAAATCCGCTTCGGAAATGCCTACCCTCACGGATAAGTCCCTTTTACCATGCATCCATAGTCCTACGGACCAACCAATCATCCAACGCTCCAAGGACCTCACATTCGTGAAGGAGTATTTCCAATGGAAGAGGCGAAAGCGCAGTGTGAAAATAAGAAAAACTGCGAGAGGAAAGAAGACAATAGATCTGCTCAATTGGATGCTTGAAAATCACGAACTGCAGCAAGGGTACTGTGATTTTTAAGGAAGAATTCAACTGTCAGGGCTTTGCAAAAAGGGTGTTTGATGAATTTGCTGAAAAGGGCAACTCACAACCTTCAACCTCCAGCTCAACCTCAAATGTTTTCCCCAAATTGCTACAAGAGTACCTGAATCACTTACAGATTTAAAATGGGCCAGGCCTACGCCGGTAACCTTGTAAGACTTCCCTTCTCATTTCTTGCTCTTAACTATTTTAGGCCTAAGCCTGTCCATTGTTCAAAATAGTGGAAATATAAACTTCTCTCTATACTGGTCTGTTTTCCACTCACTGAAAATATTGATCCTACAAGTAACTCGGGACCTTGGGTGGGAATAACAAGGTTAGACCCCACAAGGCACCACAATAGCCCTCATGTTCTGCTGATGCACTTCAAAACATTTTTCCCCGGGAAACATGAGAAGGCGCATGAGAAAATTCCTAGGAACACGTTTTCGAAAAGTAGCTGCGCTACTAAGAATTACTACGTGCTTTCCCAAGCATCCATAGGCGCTTCCCTGTTCCCATTTGTAAGATGTATCTAATAACACCTGAAGCAGGAATCTGAAAGTCCATCGCACACTTGGCGTGTGACGCGTGCGATTTCCTGGCATGTGCTTGCATGCAACTACTTGCGTTCGAATGCAAGGGAACACGAGTGTATTTACGTCCACACGCCTCCACAAGTGTAAATGAATCGTAATCACTATGTTATGAACAGGGTTTTCTTTCATTCATGTAATATATATAGACGCTCCTGAATGACTGTTGCTAATTCTAACCATGTTCTAGGGAAGTTAGAAATCTGAAACTTGATACACAAGTAACTATCGGAAGTGTACTATTCAGAAAAAATGGCAAATTTGGAGGTAACATACATGTTCATGGACATTTCAGGGGGGAATGATTTTGTAGGCCTAGGTCCAGCTCCCCCCCCCCTCCCCCTCCCCCTCCCCCTCCCCTTCCTTCCTTCCTCTGTCATTGAAGGAACTGTGTCTAACTGCTAGAGTGCTCACTCAGGAGGAATTCCTACTTCGGAAGTGGAGGCTGATTTCGCAGGCCAAGGCCTTACCCATGGATGGACGCTTAGGCCAATACCATTCTCATGGACACTCTTCAAAGGAAGTGGGATAGAAAATAAAAAAGCTGTTGGCTCGCATACTACAGATAGTTCGACATTGAAGGTAGGTGCCCTGAAGGGACTGAATCAGCAGGCCCAAATCTAACCCTTGCATGGACGTTCTGGCCTATATCGACCTCGACTCATTGGTTTAGAGGACCTTTTCGGCGTATTTTTAACGTAAAAATCGCTGCCTTA